AATATACCATAAGGATGGCGATGTGGACTACGTAGTTAGGCCTATTTATTTATTGGGAAGGAAGGGGGGTCCCCTATTTCCGATGCTAAACTTGCTTGCAGGTCTCTTGTAACACCCAGACATAGCACCACCTTGTCAAATATTTGTCTGCAAATTTATCTGCGATTATTTATTTTATCAACTGTGAGTGGCCTTCGATAGTCTTTTATTACGTAATTTAACACCCGGGATCTTTTCCATGGGCGTTTCTAACTACTGTACTAGTCGTATTTATTTACTACAGAGTAGGCCTTACCTTGTTCTTGTGATATTAAGTAATTCATACCTGCCTACATTAGGTTGTGAAAAATAGGGAGTCCCGGTGATTAAATTTACCGAGTGAAATTATAAGGGACAAACTGGGCCAAATCGGGAGAATTGGCAAGTATGAGTAATCTCACCCGATATTTCATGATTCATTCAGGTGATAAGAATATCTAGTTCATATAACCAGGATGGCTAGTTCTCCAGGACCCACGCTGTATAACTGAGTTAGTGAGGCTCTTAATTGATATTTAAGGTCTCAGTCCCCTGATTCACCCATGTAAGTGTTTAAACAGGCAGTTGTAAAAAAACACTACCTCTGCAACAAATCTCACACCTCCCACTAAAAAATATCCAATACATGTTTGTACACCAGTTGGAACTAAACCATCCTGTGTTAATCAGTGTTAAAGATTACAGATTTTAGAAGGTACAGCTGTCATACAGATACTGATTAACCTGTGCAATTTTAACCTACTATTTTTTTCCTGTGAAGGGTATTGGGAAAATGCTGTAACTGATGCATTTTCTTATACATCTAAGTTTGGTGGACTGAAGGTATGGGTGAATACCGTCTGATTTTTATCTCTCCTGCCGATGTTTCTTGTTTTTATTTATTTATTTATCTTCTAAACAGGTTCGAAAGGTTTCTGTGTGCCCTGTGGTGGGTTGGCGCCCCCTCCAGGGTCATTCCCAGTCTTGCTAAAATTAGCTACAGACTCCCGCGACCCTGAATAGGACAAACAAGTATAGTGGATGGATGGATCTTGTTGGAAGGCTAGAAGAATACCATTTTAGTTTCCATTGTAAATGTATTGTAAATATTAATAAAGACTGTAAATTCACTATGTAAAGTCCAATAAACAAAAATTAAATTTTTTCAACTACTATGTATATCCGTCTGTTTATTTTCCACGTGCTTCTTCTGGTCAGGAGCCTGTTCCAGGCAGCATAGGGCAGAACCTGGGATGCCAGCATATCATCCCCAAACTCACAGACTCCACATAGCTTAAATGCCTTTGGAATACAAGCAGAAACTGGAGTACCTGTAAGAAATTCACACAACACAGGCAGAACATGTAGACTGCACAAATAGAGAAAGTTTGTCTCATTTGAGAGCCTTCGTTCACAACTGACCATTTACCTAACATGAAAGTGATTAATTATTGTTGACACTCCACAACAATAAAATGTGCCCTCTGCACTTAACTCATAAGCAGGGGTGGGGGGCATACTTTGCTCAGGGTACCTGAGTGGTTCCTTGCTTGTTGGGGATTTGAACAAACAACCCTTTAACCACAAGCATGCTTCCATGACCATTGGCCACCACTGTCTTATATATGGTATGCATTATATTTCATATGCAAATGATGATTACAGTAGCACATTATCGGGAGCAGATGGAAAGGTAGCCCTGTGTACTACGCCCATAGCCAGAAATACATTTCATGGGCTGTCTGGCAACCCCCGACTGGAAGGGTTAAAACCTGTAAATTTTCTACTTGTGTATGTGCCTGTTGTGTAGCAGGGAACTGGGTGGGAGCAAAAACATGGACTGCTGGGTGTCTCCATGGACTAGGTTGGAAAACACTGACTTAGACTGTAAGCTGTGTTAAACACTGGCTGCTCACACACAATTTCCAGCACCTCTTGTGGTGAAAAGGGGACAGTGCAGGGCAGCAGCCTGCCAATCTCACAACAGACATGCCCTTCAGCTGCTGGACGCCGGACAGAAAACTGATCTCAGATTTAATCCAAGGAATCCTGTAGTGTTGTAGTACCCGACAGCCAAAAATAAAATATTTATTTGTACTGAAGAATAAATTTCACAAATATGAATTTTATAAATCTACAACTGATGAACAACTAACTCTACCAATATAGCCAATATTCTATTAGTTGAAATGAAAACATACAAAAAAATCCCCCTTCATGTTTGAGTCCCCTGAACTTTAAATGACAGCGCTAACTGGTTAAAAAGTATATAATGCATTTGTGCATGTGCACATTGGAGGATAACTATCGCGTATCATTTTAAGCTTAAACGATGGCCTCGTGTGTTTGCTTGGATGAGCACTGTTTGAAAATGACATGAGTCCGAAGAATGATTGGAGGATTTTACCAATATTACAGTAATATGAAAAAAATTTATATTTATGAAGAGCGGCTGTGGAAAATAACTGCCAGGCAAGAATATGTTTTTTTGTTGGATGTTACTGTCTTGCTGTGGTAGTTTTTGATTCTGGAACTTTACCTAATATTTTACTCTGTCATACATCCATCTTATTGCTCGTGAAACCAAAACCTGACAATTTTTTTTTGTCAAGATTTCTTTTTAATGTATAAATTATAAATGCTAATTGTGTTCCTACACAATGTTTCCCATATACTTGAATTTGACATACATGAGAAGAAAAACTGTGATAAGGAAGACATCCGATATTAAATCGCCTCCTTTACATCTATTATATTAAGTTTTAAATTTAAACTATGAAGCACAACCAGGATCGGTCAGGATGCGTCCTATGCGGATGTTTCTCACTACTTCATCGCTACTCTTAACTGAAGTAACGATTTGAACAATAAGGAACCACGCGTGATGTTTCAGTGTCAGTCAGGTTAATGAAAAAGTATTCTATAAAGCACTCTGACCCTTCTGGACCAGAATTGTTTTTTTATATTATTATTTTTATTGCTTTGTTATTGTGGATTATAACAGAGAACCGTGGAAATGATAAGGATATGTCTCACATAGCTACATCAAGGACCTAAGTAGCAATACTCATTTAATTCAGAATGAAGAAGCAGCATTATTATGTTCTCTGCAATTCTATATTTTATTACTTGACAAAATTTGATCTCATTTAAACGTTAAAATTGTTCTTAATTAATATTGTGCTTATTATACACTTTTTAAATTGAAGTGGAACTGACCTCCCAAAATGTTGAAGATATTATTCAATAAACAATAATCGTCAACTCCACTGAAAAAAAAGATTAACAAGACAAATTATTATTATTATTGTTGTTGTTGTTGTTGTTGTTGTTATCATCATTATTATTATTACTTCTGTAATGCTGGTTTTGGCGAAAATGTATCAATTAACAGGTTAAACTGGATCGAGTTTGTCACGCGATTATGTGAATCCGTAACGCTCTACAAGTAAAGTAGGCCTACAAGGTAGACTCCAATGTTGATTTACTAGTTTTGTATGATCCCTTTGCTGAATTCATTTTTCTTATTGCATGCCATGTAATTTAGCAATTGTGAATGTATGGTGCTTATCTGTGACTTTCGATAAATTTTATGTAAGAGGTATCACATTTATTTAGTATCATAATTAACCTTAATTACTGCACCTGCCTTTGATGACGTATTCATTACACACTCGGATTAGCCGTTGCACCGAATGAATTGTAAATATAAAGTGTATTATATTTAGAAACGCAAGAATATCAGCTATAATTCGTATATAGTCTGTTGATACAGTACGATTTTCTTTTGTACTTTATAAAAATCATAATTTTGTCTCTTAATCAACTCTTTATTGTTAATCAACTCCGCATATACGTCATATATAATTATTATAATAAACACATATACTTGGTCTGTTTCACACTTTAAACCGTACAGTGTAAGTAATGCAATTTTTATTGTTGTAATTACTTCATTTTCACATGTATTTTAGCTGTTGAACATATATGACGCTTAGTTCTAAGTAACAATTTAAACAAAAGATAAAGGTACACAAACGAACCAAATAAAATTAGTAGTCTAAGTCATTCAGTGTTTTATTCATACACATGTATCCATAATTATGCTTTTATGGGTTCTTGGGACTGTCAATAAAAGCAATATCTAAGCCTGTATCTGTATCAAATCAGTAGTCTGGCGTGAACGAAACTTTGGACTCATTTTTTTCACATATAATAAAATGTTTCCAGTGAAAGAGACTTTATTAACAACTCAATGTTATTTAAATGTAACTACATGTGAATGTAACACAATGCTTTTTTAAAAAAAAAACAAAAAAAAACAGTTTGTTTTACAGCTCACATTTTGAGATTCAACAGGTCGATAAAAGAACGCCCTCGTTTTCTCCACTAGATGGCGCCAAATTACAGTATTTCATAGAATTAATCGGCCAGGTCGTTAAATACGTATTCTCTTCCGCATTACATGTGACTAAAGAACAATCGTTTCGAAAACAGGAATACGATCGCATACATTAAGAATGCTTAGCGTGTTCTAAAGTGTTTTTATTGAAGGACCCGACGATTCTGCATTTATATTCATTCTATATAATGTGTGCATTGCTAGGCCCTACATTTCGTCTCCAATTGATTTAAAAAAAAAAAAAGATGTTTCTGTCTGATATCTATTTCAACATGTTTGTCCATTATAGTGATGCGAATGAATGTTAATAATGGAGAACAATGTACTTAATTCAGATAAAACATACAGAGATAAACTTGCGGGAAAATGTTTATAGACCTATTACCAATAATCTGTAGTCATTAAATAACGTCCCCCTTTTATAGTAAATAAACTGATGCAGTTATGACCAACAAATTAAGCAGAAGACTGAAACGATTATAAAACCTATACGTCGGTGGTTTTATCACAGGCTGTTAGCAGACAGTACTTAAAAAACCTTGCCTCATTAGCTGAAATCAGTGACTTAATATGCAATCCGTCTTCTTCTACTATTTATTGGAACGATTAAATTATAACATATAACATATAACAAGTGATTCCGTATCTACGCATCTATATACTTACATAAGTTTCCATCTCCCTTTCTGGTTTAGTTCCTTGAGTATGTCCATTGTACATATTTAGCATATACTACTTTTAAACACGGCTATGACATTTTAAGTGGGAAAGACGTTCAGATTCAACGGGGAAATATAACCGCATGGCAAGTAGTCTTAAAGCATTTAGATGACAGACTAGTTGTGTGCTTCAATTTAAATATTAATATTTAATATGACAGCTTGCCTAATTTTAGTATATATTGCAGTGATTTAAATATTTGTAAACAATGTCAGCGGATGAGACAACGGAAGTTGTGCAGTTTCTAAACATAGAGCGACAGCCTAAATGTTACCTGTACAAGTAATCGGAGGAGGCTGTGCGGCTGTACCTTTCGTACTTATCCCAAATGTTCATCTTGAAGCACCTTTTAAAAACCTAAGAACCGCTGGTTTATATCAACGAAACTGAAATAGTCAATATCAACACTAATAAACTATTTTTAATAGAAAGATAATCAGTTACTCAAATTGTAAAGATAAGACACGAAAACTTTATAAATGGCAAGAAAATATCAATGCACGAGGCTGCCATTTAGTTCATGTGTAACACGACTTCAAAATAAACTGAATATATAGGCCTAATGAGAAGAAGCTATAGACGCGTTATATTTTAGGAAAAGTGTTTTCAGAACATTTTGTCAGCTGAAGGCTTGAGAATTGTCCTTTCTAGACACCCTATAATTCTGTTAAATGTGTACCTGAAACCCGTTCTCTTGTTAAAATTCTCAACGTATTGTTCCCTCCCTCAACCAGCGTTCAGAATTTCACTCCTTTTTCCGAGTTAACAAAGGACAAAGGTATAATTCATCATTCCGTTTCCAACTTTGACTAGCCAGAAAGGAGGGCTTGCGAGTCCCCGGGAATGAAACTGTAGGGTCCGATGAATCTAGGCAGAAGGTCGTAACCCCTTCAATCTTCAAAGGCGCTACCGCCTCCGTTGCAGTTGTCACTTCTTGCACTGGCCAGGACCTCAGGAGGTCAAGACAAAAAAAGATTTCTCTAGCATGGAACTTCGCATTATTCCAACAGAGGACTCTTTGCATCATCGATATAAGACTCCTTGCTGCTACAGGGCTCCAGAAAAGATCTATCTGGGAAGTGCCTATAGGAAAGTACAAGCTTGCCTACATGTAGCTTAAGAACAATATTATACTAGGTTAACTATACTAACTATATGGTAGCTCCGAGGGTGCTCAATAAGGTGCCAAATATCGAACAAAAGAATGTAAGCCATTTCAAAGAAAATGAAAATCTAACATGGGCCTATTATCGGCTGTTGTTTTATTTCAGGTATACGACATATGCCACTGATATATATATAACACTAAGTCAAATTATCCGTATTCCCATTGCTTTTGCTAGGACTTTTGTCTATGAAAATGCCATTGCCTGTGGTCCCACAAATACAACATTCTCCATAGGAATTAGTATATGTGCTAAACGGTGCAACGGTGTATGGCTGTAGTTTTAAAAACCAATCATCCTCAAACTGACAATCTTCAGAAAACTAGGATTTGTAAGATGTGAATTAATTTAACACAGAGAGGCCAAGTTATTGGCCGTTTATAAAAACCTGAAATGTTTTGCCCCAGATATCCCCTATCGAAAGGTGCAGTCATTTGATGATGTATAACATTTGCAAGCAGCCTAGTCATATACATTGAATTCACAATTGCCGTAGTCTTCGTTCCGAGGACAAGAACTATTCACTTCTAGGAACAAACATTAATTGAATAAACTCGCACAGCTTCAGTCAAACCAGAGATATTGCTTATATATTACTTCAATGTCAAGTAAAAAAAAACACGCCGTCTTCGCTGAATATTGCTTATTTATTAAAATATATATTTTAATTCGTACCAAGTCTTAACTTGTGAGTCTCTCAGCTGTAGTGCAAACCCGACAGACTGATGCCCTTTCGTTATTGCACTGCTTGCTGAAGCTCCCACAGTAGTGCAACAGGGAAAGAGTTTCAGGCAACAGGCTTCCTCCCACTTTCTGGATGAAGCGCACAGCAGCACGTGATCAGCACACGCGTTCATCTGCGCTTCAGTGCTGACCACACTTAAACGAACCCCAAAGGATAAATCATTTAAAATGTTGCCCTTTAAATGATTCCAATATCTTTAGGGTCTGTGATAAAGTATCAACATACCAGAAGTTGAAAATTCGTCAGTTTTCACTTGTTTTACCTATTACAGAAAAACCTTAAAACGTTTTTCAAATTAAATACCATTTCCTTTTAATATTAGTCACGTGGTGTCATTAAATCGAATAAACTCCACCAATATAACACATCTATATGGGTTAAGTTTCAATAATATTATACAGCCTATTAAAACATTTGCATATTATAAGTTTAATATAAATAAATAGGCCTACGTACGCTTGCAACTCTTCAAAACATCCAAACTAAGGACTGACTACACATACATACGGAGCCTACAGAAAAATAAACCATCCATCCACACATAACGTGATTCTGTATCATATGCAAGAGACACACTCTAAAGTTCGAACAAATCTATAGCACCACCATGCCGCCCAGGCTAACATACTTTACTAAATATCGTTATACACTAAACTGTAGGTTAGACGTGTTATACTGAATTGTGTATATTTTTGTAATAGCCCGCACGATGTATTGAACAGAACCACAGCCCTTAGCACTAAGAGAATGCCATTTCCTTGCTGTTCTCGCAATGGCGCTAAGTACAGAGGACACACACTGGCCGCCATTCAAATAGTTTTGGGACCACCTAGTTCCAGGGCGCAGGGGCCACCATCTCGGAGACTAAAACTCTGCATTTCAGTCTCCCGTTTAATAATCCGCTGTGAAGAATATATTTGTCGTCTTCGGCGTCACCTGAGAAGGGAATTTTAGTTATATATATACACACACACATTCCGAATGGTTTGTCCCACAGTGTAAATCAAAATTTTGTATGATCCGTTTCTATCGAAGTCGTTTACAAAAAAGGAGACACTTCATGTTACAACACAAGGGCCCAAGTCATTCACGCATTGCGTATGAAAGCGACACGACCAAATCAACTAACCAAAAGGTGTGAGATGTAGCGAAGAAAATCCCTCCAACTCGAAAAAATTAAAAACAGAATAATTTTGTCGTCTACGAAAACTAGGCAATACATTACTTCCAAGCTTCAAAGAAATTGCTGAGAATTCCTCAGAGTCAAGACCCTATAAGCAATATTGCACTACTCCATCAATAAGCAAAAAAGCAGAGACAATATTGATAGGGTCTCGTCTGTAAGGCAACGCTGAGGTTTTTAACCAATACAAAAATCCAGTTGATGTCACACGTTGATCATGGCAAGAACACGAACCGTGAGGCAAAAATACCTACCTGTAAGCTTGGAATTATGTAGGTTTCCAATGGAATTGCACACGTCTTAGCACGGGCGTCACGTGGCCCTCTTGCTGACGTCGTGAGAATTCCTTACTCCGCGTCGCCCTGCTGGCGGGCACGAGAATTGCGCGTGCTTGGAAAAATTAGCCATTAGTTGGAATTCCTCGCCTCCGCATTTGAGCCTTGACTCGATGCCACCACACGACGCATTTACCAGTTTTTATATACAGCAACATGTGCATTTTTATGACATTACCTTAGCAGCCAATCTGGATAATCTGTATTGTTGCGCAACGCACAGGCAAATATTCTGATCGCTTTTACCTAGCTGAAAATAACGTTGGAATCGATTATAGTTGTATGTTAACGCATTGCAAGAACTGACAATCACAACAACAGTGGAACATGTTACAGAAGCATGAACGAAACGAAAAAAAAATATTTCCAAACATATACAGGACAAAACCATAACATTCGCAACCGTAAACGTAAAATACCTGGTATTCCGAATCCAATGCGTTGTACAAACAAATTGCGAAAATACTGGCTTCGTACGTTTTAGTTTCTCATACGCGTACTCCGTCCTCTCAAACATCATTGCACTCTTCTCTCTCTCTCTACATGCAGGGGGAGAGAGAGAGGGAGAGAGAGAGACTTCCTCTTTCCTAGGGATTAAAAGGAAATGGAAGTGGCAAGACAATCCCCTAATTCACGGATTCCTGACTAATTTAAGAATTCCTCATCGATCTGTTATTTACCACAGAGATCCCTTGTGCTCCACATAGCAATGGCAGACAGAGTGCCTGCCGTCCCCTGATATACGTAAGCAAAGTCAGCGACCAAAAGGCGGGAGAGAGTTAGACAAGACCTTTGTCAATACTAATATGTTTACTAATTCTGTATTAACTCGGGCGAAGTGTGTCATCAACACACGGACCATTTGCATGTTTTAGAATTTCCACCTGAACTAGCAAACAACCTATTACATAGAATCAAGTGTTAAACATAGGCCATATATATGCCAAATTCATTTTCTGGCTTTCAAAAAATGTTACGGGCGCAACAACAAAAGCAGTAAAGTAATTACATAAGCCTATATCTAAAAAATAAAAGAGAAACTCTATATTTTATACTAGATTCTGCAGCTAGTTTTAATTATTCATGATCTCAAACGGCAACTAGACTATGTAAATGTTTAGATACACGGAGACATTTGAAACCCTAAAAATCAACATTCATAAATGGGAAAGTAACTGAATTGTACGTTAAATTCCAATGTAATTCGATTTCGATATCCATGTTATTGTTGTAGAAAAAATCCTATTGCATTTATGACAATCATCACATTCAGCGGTTACACATTAAACGTATACGATTAGTTAAAATTATCCAAATATACATATTACAAATACATAGGCCTAGATTTAACTTAGTAAAATAAACTTGTACGTTTACTGTATCTCCCTGTTTTGGTAATAAATTAGCATAGCACACTCGCCACATTCCGTACAAACAACTTCTTGGAGTATATTTCAGTGACAGAAATTTCGCACTTTGACCCTCATTAAACTCAAAAGATTACAAGAAAAAAACAGATGTGACAGATCCTTGTGTTCTGTACTCCCTGTCTAGTAGCTGCCACAGAATAGAACATTTAAGAAATACTAATAAAAAAAGTTTGCTGTTAAAATGTTAGCAATAAGCTGATCAGAATTTTGTAAATATAAACACACACCTTTTTGAAGTAACTCAAAAGCCAGGCATAGATCGCCAAACACTTTACGGTCCTAATTAAAATTTACTCCTAATTGAAATCATACGTCTGAAGTTTGAAAACCTAAAACATAATTAAGATGACTAATTAATGCTTGTGAAAATAGCTGGTGCACTTCTACGCGTCGCATAGTTGTTTCCTTTCTAGACCAGGGCCTCGCATTCCTGTATTGGCCTACCAACGTGTGGCAAGCTACTACAAGTTCACATCTTTACTTGAGGATTCCACACTGTCAAGCAAGATTTGACCTGCCTACAGACTAACAGCACTCCATGATATATCAGAACAGTAAAATCAACTGTAGCATAGATGTTAAGGCCTCCAAATTCTGTGCAGCATATATCGTACAACCTCGTTTATAAAGCTTTGAATGGGAGACGACCGGTTGTAATCGTATAGCCTACCAAAAAAGAATCAGTAACAATTAGACAACAGTACACGGAATCGGGCAGAGCCATGTGTAGCCTACATCTATTTTTTACCCTACTTAGGTCAAGCTAAGGCTAAACGGAATAAGGCTAAGAAGAAAAAACTCGTTGGGTGGGGACTAACATTTTAACATTCTATGGTTTTCATTTCATATGTGGTGTACATTTTCCACATGTGCAAATATATACGTAAATCAGCGTATGTAAAAAAAGGGGAAAAAACCCCGCCAGATTTAGCCAAAGATCAATTCAAACCCACTTCTAATCTGCGTCACAAACTAGCAACAACGAATCATAATCACTTCCTATGAATTAATGTATGAAATAATAGTTTGGACGAAATTAATCTATTGCAATAAATCTGTCTTGCATGTTGAAACCTAACGTATGTGTGTACGTACGATATTGGGTTACAAAGCCTACAAGGACTGCAGGGAAGCCTCTTTGGTCGACTTTCAGTGACCAAGGATGAAATTTACCCCAAAGCGGTTCCCCTCCCCCCATTCACAGTATAAGACCTGCCTACCCGCATTCCTCAAAAATACTCCCACCACACCCCACCCCCCAGACCACCCCCCCACCTGCCACAAATAGGAAGTTAATCTTTCCTCCCACACAACGTAATTTCTTTTAACACTCACTTTCTGCCGCTGTATTATGTATTATGTTTCAAAATGTGACATATTTGCAGAATTCCCCCCATAACTTAAATTTCAACTGTGAACGATGGGGTACTGTTCACTGTATCTGTGCAGACACATTGTTCTCTGTTCGAAACAGTTATTCTGTATCAAGGTTTTGCTACCCTAAAAAATAAGAAATTGCGAAAACTCTTTATAAGATGTAAATAACTAATAACGAAACGTCGAACGACAATTATGTTGACCAGAACGGTGAATATGAGAAAAGCCAATTTACCTGAAACAAACCATCTCACAGAGAGTTTCATTGCAAAATCCTGTTTTTTTAAGTATTATACACAAATTCTAAATTTTGCTAGGTGATGGAACGTACGCAATTCGTCATATAAAATTAGGGAAGAGAGTCTTTAATTTTTGGGAATTATTATAGATAGTTATTGCGCGTTTGGGTTTCAGCATTAACAGATTGCGCAACAACAACGTCTAGGACACATTTTGAAGCACAGATGTAGGATGGAACCTTTGTTTTCCAATAAATAAGTAATAATCTCGCTGTAGATGTCAAATAGGCAATAGATTTTACATAAAAATCCGCCTGAGTCGTTTTTTAAATTCCCTATACAGTAACAAATTGTTGTACTATCAACTGGCGAAATGCTAGCTAACAAATATAGCTATATTGAACTTTAAATTTATGATCAGCTGACATCGTTACATTTACCTAACATAAGTGTAAACAGGGGTTTGTTTATTGTGCGAAAATAACAAAATGACAATTCCAAAGGCCAATCAAGTCTGCAAATCATATTTTAGACAGTATATGTGAGTTAAAAGTATTGTTCAAGTGTTACTCAATCCCACACGTGGTTTTCTAAGCAAGTGAAGAGGACTTCTAAAGTTCTTGGTGAACAAAATGTTCCCTTTTCGGAGGCGTGGCTTGGAGGCCCTTTTCTGCGTGCTGTGAGAAACTTCAAGTTCCTTCGTATAGAAACGCCTTACACGAAAAGGGCTTCCTTTTGTACGTAGTAGGTCACTATTGTGATTATTTAGAAATATGCCTTACTTTTAAATTTTGCGCTATACTTTAAATAACGCACCTAACCTACCGCGAACACCTGTAATTAGTGTAACCTCCTTAAATGTATGGTTTTGGTAGGAACTGTTGGAAAAGTAACGGGTCCTGAAATGTGTCAGTGTAACTACAGGCTCTAACATGAGCATGAACATAAAAGCAGCGGTCTTGGCAGTACTGGCGAAGGCCTAGTGCTATGACAATACTATTGCACTGCTTGAATGGATGGAACAGTAGTGCAACATCGTCAGAGCAAGTGACCTTAGCTCAGTTATTGGTGAGAGAGGAACATGGTTCTGTAGTTACACAGATACAGACAAATGTCAAGAAAATGGGAAAATAGTAGCACGTAATATTTATGCAGAAATCCACCACTGACTCTCTTTAACACAATCAAAGTCAATCTGGTGCTGGATTTCCAAAACAGCAAACAGTGTACACCTTTGATAAATTTCTTTATATGGGGTACCCAGGGCTACAGCTAATATTTGGGCCAGTATGTATTTGATATTTTGAATATTGATAATTGATCAAATATTTTAATTTCAATGTCATTTATAGTAGGCTACATGTACCTTTAATCCCCACAGACTGTTTTTATCAACTTTAGAATAGCTTACAAATATATTCATACAAATTCAAGCTCCGTAGGAAAATTGGAACATCTGTCATATTTTTTAATCCAAATTAACTGAGACGAGCAAAGAAATACATTCATTGACTGTAGTCGCTTAAATTTAACCTGCGTTCTGCAAACTTGAATTGTATTCCCCAAAGATCGCGCATTACAAAGCTACCCGTATAATGACAGTACTAATGAATTCCTAGGGTCTTTTGTTTTGTAATAACAGTTTTGTAGTAGTAGTAGTAGTAATAATAATAATAATAATAATATTAATAATAATAATAATATGTTAAGTAGGCTTAAATACGTTTAAATACGTTTACATTTGGTACGTTTTAATTTCTTAAAGGATCTTATAGGAGACGTTATATAAAGGAAGTTGATGGAACAGTGTATTTGTGTGTGTGTGCGCGTACATATATGTATGGAAGGTGTGTGTGTGTGGGGGGGTCGTTCTGTCAGCCAATGCCCTTTTAATATTGCACTGCTCTTCTCATTTTCCAGTAGTACAACAGAAAAAGGGCTTTGGACAACAAAATTAAGACTGACTCTCAATATCAATATACATTACTGGAATAAACTTAGCATATAGCATATACTGGAATAAACTTATTTACAAACCAAAAGTAGATTTAAAATAGCACATTTCCGTGCATATAATTCTACTTAGCATCTATATAAACAATCAACATGAATTTAAAGTCTTTAAAAATTAAAAAGAAACTAAAATTAACCAGTAACTTAACACCTGAAAAGAAAGGAAGTAGGCGAAACAAAGCGAACTGCAGCAGTACTTTAAATTAATGCTCCTTTAACAAGTGATGCATGCACCATTGAAAATGCCAGTAAAACTCCTATAGTTTAAAAGTTAATTTTTTATTAACTTTTAAACTAGGAAATTCTAATGCTCCGATAATCTCAAAGCACCGAAAGATACCCCCA